CCTAGCTCGATGATTACGGGGGAGGAGGCATATGATAATTTATTCGTGTTGTGCCCGACGGATTTATTTTAAAAAGCGATTGTATTTACGCAACATGAATATATGAATATACACCCCCCCCCCTCCCCCTTAGGAACGGCCCTGGATATCGAAGAGAAACAAATAGAGTTAAAATAAGTATGAAGACGAAGACAGTTGTAAAAGAAATTGCAATTATCTCCATTTCTTATGTTTATTAGCTTATCTTCGGATAATTGTTACGTTAACTGATTATTTGAAGTGCTTCACTTTTAAAGCTAAACTCCTGCAATTCTTACCAGATTACGTCAGTTAGAGACGCCATAGTTCCGTCATTTTGAATTCGGCCGTTTTAAATTCCACCATTTTGATTTCCGTCATGCATCTTGGTTTCGATGCAACCTCGCAAGCCAGGGTCTTTTACCTGCGCTCGGGCTACAGCGAAGACCCTGGTTCCCTCTGGTCACGTGAACCCCCAGATTTTAGGGCTAATTCGAATTGCCGCCTCTTTGCCACTTTGCCACTTAGGGAGGAGTGGTAGGGGGAATTCAAGAGCGAAAACGGAAACATCTGTAACTATGCCTATGGAAAATAAGGCCATTTACGCTCTGTATTAACCCATATTTTGTTTCTTATCGGTTTTTGTGTTTCTTTTATGAAATATGTCACCGCTTGAAAGATATTTACACCTACTTAATATAATTTGCATGGCTGAAGGTCTGTTTTAAACCCTGAAGTGGAGCCATTATTTATCAACGCAAAGAAAATAAAGGTAGAATGGACATTTATACAAAGTCCAAGTACAGTATTCAGTAGCTCTCAAGCTATGACACAGCCAAAGAAAACTCCAAAGATGATTTATGCGAAATCCGCTTTGTTTTCGGAATGCAATTGTCGCCTTTGTGGTAGTATTATCGACAAAAAGTATTACAACAACCTATTCTTAGAGCTAGCGAAATTAAACCTGCTTCGTGTCGCAGAAAATGTGAATTGTGGATTTCTTGCGTGTGATGACCGATGACGGATTTTCTAATCTTCCTAAATTAACATTAAATGAAAAGAATGGGGGCCAAAAAAACACGCAAGACTGTGAAGTCAATCGAATGTTTAATATTAAAGTAGAGCGACTGGAGGGATATCTGTAGAAATGATAAACAACTTCGACATAGCTGTATAGGAATTAAGTCAAGAAGGTATCCTCTCACATGCACAAATATTCGGAGAAAATATTATTTTATCTCGTCTCTTGGAATTAAAACCATTTGCAAACAACAATATATGATCATTTTCATGAAGGTTTCACAGATATATCACCAGATACATTAGCAACATTTGACAAATTATCGTTGCATCTGATGACTAGCTAAACAAACACAAGAGGAACATTCACCAAGCACGTACCAGTGGACACATCAGAAGATGAATTATGACTGTGAATACTGTAAAACTTGCACGAATAAGCAATAATGATTTGTATGGCTGTAGCTGACTCGTCCCCAGCCGTCTCTGTGAGCACGTGCGGATTGGAAAGCGCGCGAAGGGGTGGAAGGGAAGGGAGAAGCGAGGGAGACGACTGGCATATCCTGTTTTCAAGATGGACGCAAAATCAATGGCGGATTTTCAAGAAAATCATTATTTTGAAAATAGACCATTTCATAAGACACGTTTCCAACTGTGCCTGTTAAATGTTTGTAACTATATATTTTGGAAGTTTCAAATGCGTGTGTTTACATGCCAAGGCGAGACTTTGAAAATTATATTTTTGAATTTCCGTGGCATGACAACAGTGTGTTGCGAACGTTTTCTCGGCGAAATTTTTACTAACCTAAATATAAATCCCACTAAAATGTAAGCTTTTTCACAAGCTTTCAAATCATCTGCGTTAGGGGTTTATGTCGTTAAATTTCTAATTAATATAAAGCGGTTGAAACTCGTGCCTAAAACCAGACATAATAAATTCCGACTAGAATGTGTTTTCCGACGGCAATTTTTACACCCTCGATTAGGCAACGAATTCTCGCTAAATATTCTAGCTACAATATTATGGCTCGTACCAAAATGTAGCTGATTTCACCAGCTATCTAACAATATGTGTAAAATTATTATACCTGTAATATTCGTACAGATATTGTCGAATAAAGTCATGTTTATGTTGCATTAAACTTTATATTCTGTTTTCAAATTTTGTTTACATTGTGTGATTTTGACCCCCTCGTTTAGACAACGTTTTCTCGCTCAATATTGTAGCTACAGGAATATAGTTCCCGCTAAAATGTAGGCATTTTCACAAGCATTCAAACCATCTGCGTTAGGAATGAATGTCGTTAAATGTCGAATTAATATAAGCGGTTGAAACTCGTGCCTAAAACCAGACATAATATATTCCATACTATATTCCGACGGCAATTTTGACACCCTCGTTTAGGCAACAAATCTCGCTCAATATTATAGCTGCAATACTAAAGCTCCCGCTAAAATGTAGGCATTTCATGTTGTTAAATTCCGAATTAATATAAGCGGTTGAAACTCGCATAATATAACAAAAATGGCCTTGAGCAGAGTTTCGACTGATATTCCAGAGTTTCGACACAGGATCTGCCAGTCGTCTCCCTCGTTTCGAGCGTCCTCACAGAGACGACTGGGGACGAGTCAGTGGCTGTAGCACAGGCTACCAAGACTACCCTAGCTTGAAAGCCGGATTATATATATATATATATATATATATATATATATATATATATATATATATATATATATATATATATATATATATATATATATATATATATATAAACAACAAATTTCAATCTTAAAATTTTATTTCATCGCTACACAGTGTTTCACGTACAGCGTACGATCATCAGGCGATTGATGTTAATTATCTCGCAATAAATTACAACGGTTTACGCTGACGCGCTTAGATTGCTGACGCAAGCATTTAAACGATTGTGTTTACTTGCGCGCGCGCGTTTGAAATTAGAAGCTTTATAACTGTTCCTATGCCTACACTTGCTAAACAATTCAGATCTTAGATTCAATGTATTAATTTTGTCCGATAACATAATCATTCTTTTTTCCTCGGTGCACAGAGAACAAACTTTCATTCCTGGGCAAACGGCTGGAACTTGCTTCATGACCGACCAATTTATTCGGAATGATTTGTTCTGCGATTTAAGACCCCAAGCATATTTCGATTTTCGAAAGTTCCGTCTCTGTCGAATAGCGCTCATTGTTCAATGATTTCAAATGATTGCTATATCGTAGCTTGAAAGGACCCGCCGTCATTCCTATATAATTCTTGACCACTTTCCCATTGTCGCTTGTGATCTGGGCTTTAGACACAACGCTTCTCACGAGACAATTGCCGTTCAGTGGACATTTACTTTTAATTCTGCAGTTACACGATTTCGATGGAATTTGGGAGGGATTCTGATTCTTATAAGAACACGCCGGTTGTGGTTTGAAATTGATGCTTTAATATTGTTCATGCATGAATAACTGACTTTGACAGAGTTTCGGTTGAAAATTTTATGTAGGATCGATGATTTGGGGAAATGCTTGTCTATTAAACGATGGAAATTTTCTGCAACTTTCGTCTTCACGTTCTTGCTGTAGGGCGGATTGTACCAAATAATGTTTCTTGATCGGGTTCGTTGTATATATAATGTTATATATATATATATATATATATATATATATATATATATATATATATATATATATATATATATATATATATATATATATATATATATATATATATATATATATATATATATATACATTATTCGATTAAGCCTGCTTTACAGAATATATCGGGCAAATACGTTCTGAGTGTACAGATATGTACAACGGAATTGATAACTTTAATTTACAATCGCTATCCAGCCAACGTACAGCCAGCCCCAGGATATTAAGCGATATTAAAGAGTATGCCTGTTAAATGTCAGGAATCTGATAGGAGCGATTTCCCTAATTTTCATCAGGTCAAATCAGTACAATTTTTGTTGGCAAGCTAATTACTTATGACCCTTGAACCCATTAATGACTGGAGCCAATGTAATAGAAAAGGTGCGCAAATCAAAGAGCGCAGTAAATTTACTTTAGGCATAAACAATGGCATTTTCGACCATGGCACAATTTCCTACTAGATATTAATACATTGAATAGCACGATACAGTTCCAGTGAGAATGTAATTATGCTAAGCATGCGCATAAATGTGGCAGATAGATATATCGTACCTCTTGCTTTAAGTTATGCTCTGTTCTCGATTTATATGTTGATTGAGAAGCTTCCTATATATAGAGGGGGAAATTGAATGTTTCATGAATAATATTAAACTAGCTCTTCCAAATATGCGATGTATCATTGTCAGTAAATAAAGTGACCATAATATAATATTTATATTTATTAACACGGTTTCAAATTATACACAGTACTAGCCATATTAAAAAAGTTCTGTTTGGCTGAAAGTTCCCAGCTAACACATTAACGTTTTAACAACGTCGTAACAACGTTGGACTTACGTTGTCAAAACGTTGTGATAAAACGTTGTCAAAACGTAAATTTGTAGACAGCAGAAAACGTTGTCACAACGTTGTGGTTAAGTTAAATGCAACATTTTCGCAACGTTGCTACAACGTTCTGACATGACGTTGTCACAATGTTGTGAAATGACGTTGGGAAAATGTTGTGAAAACATCGTGTTGTAACGTTGTCACAACGTCATTTTTACGTGACAGCAAAAAAATATTGTCGCGTTGTGTACGGCAAGATATTAATAGCATGATAACAATTGTCGGAAGGGTCTTTTCAATCCTTTAATTTGTTACTGATTTATTTATGCAAGAAAAAGCTTTTCTGCAATTTACTATCGTATATGGCTGTTATATGTAGACCTAAGCTTGTTAGAGTAAATCATTCGACACATATACTGTATGTCGGTATGTATAATATGCTTTTTACTGATCTAATATATCTAGCTGTGACTCGAAATGGAAAGTTTATCCAAAAGATACAAGAAACATGGAGCGTACTGACTAAAACGACACATACAATGCATTTTAAATAAAATCCTTTAATTTATTCTGACATATGCTACATTTATACAAGTCTAAAAACAAAACATAATTCCTATTAAATATTATCTCTCTCTTTCTCTTGAGACTCGTCCACGACCTATATGAACAAAAACGTATTAAACAATATTTAGATGTATACGATTTAGCATATATTCGGGAGGTGGGTAGTGCCAAAACATCGCGTCTTTGCGATTATTCTTGCACCATTCACCTCCACTTCGGTGAATAATTGTTAAATATATACACGCATGCGTGCACACACGCACACGCACGCACACGATATATCACAGAACGTATATCATGACTTAGTAATGTAGGTTACACTGTAAACAAAATGCTAAATTTACCCGATATCTTGAACCACCAGGCTTGTTTGGAGCATGCTTCAGGGTCTCTGAGATGTGCTCTTCAACACTGAGTTCGGTGGCTTTCTGGTGGCTCCTCATACAGGCCTCTGAAAAATATACCAATATTATTAGTAAGGCGATTGCACTAGCTATTAGTTAACTGGTTTTCTTCTTCACAATACAACATCTTCAGAGCATTTAAATGAATTTTAAATAATTTTAATTCATAAAAATAATTAAAAATAAAAGAGAAAAGTCATTGTTATTCATTAAAACTTCATTCTATCTTTTATTGGTTGATATTCGCCAGTTATAATACAAATATTTATAAAGAACTGGGCAGAGGACTAGAAATATTATTATGATATTGGGCTGGTTAATCCATAATATCATGCTTTACATATACTCCAATCTTCGTTTAATGCTAACTATATATACCAAATGAATGATGAGTATTACTTACTTATAATTATATTGCACAACTTCAAACTTTTAAAAGCTTGTTTTCCTTTCCGGCCTTTAAAACTAAATAAGGACCACAGCTTGTTTGTCCCAAGCTTTGCCATAATTCGGCGAACAGTGTCCCCACAGGTGTGTCCACATTGTGCCGCGAAATAATTCACCTTTAAAGAAAAAGAGATAAGTTAATTTAATTTTTACAATAGAAACTAAACTACTGTTGATATACATTAAGAATCCAATATTCCCTATCAGAGAAATCTAAACAAAACTAACTGTACTACAGTACACAATGAATGCGTAATGTGTGCATTCAGAATAATTCAATAATTTGGTCTCGTCATCCTGAAAAAAATAATGAAAATCTTGAGTGCACAGCAGGAAAAAAGGGTTATAATCAAAATTACCAATGTTTTAGTGAACGCGACTTGTTCCAATTTGCCACAAAGCACCTCCATTTCTTCCAATGTATTCATTGGCTTGGCCAGGGAATTATCCAATTCTACTTCGCATGTTTTTTCTGTTCCAAAATTTTGGCGACGCAAGTGAACAAGAATTTCCTTCTGATTCTGAATAATCGAGTCCAGTTTCATCAAAACAGACGTTTGGAAATCTGCAAAAATTATTACAGTAAAGTTATTGGTATTATAACGTTATAGTGTTATAGACCATTTTTCGCTTCTTCCAAAAACGCCACCTTGACTGTAAACGCCTATATCTCGGCTAATCGTTTATGGAAATGTGCAAGGTATACATCAAAATTTAAGTTAGACATTACTGCATTCAATAAACTTTATTTGAATAAGATGGCTTCTTTAGTTTTTTTAATTACAATAGGTCAAAGAGGGGGGAACATTTTTTTGCGTCACCCGGTATAGTCTTATAACGCGAAAGAATGAATAATCTGACCTTCCTAAACTAGGAGTCAAACCTGAAGGGACCAAGTTGACACTCTGTCAGCTCAGATTACTGAACTACTTGTGCAAATGCGACGTATTCTTGTAGAGATTTGAGTGTAATGGCGAGGTTCATAAGTACAATAACTGCAGCTCAGAGTGTTGATTAGGAGACCTTAGGTTCGATTTCTGGTTGAGATAGTGAGATTCTTCATTTCAATATACTACACTAAATCTTCTCTTGCCTTAACAGACGTATTATATACTGTACCGCATAACCAAATTTTTAGAACAAACTCAAACACCACTAGAATCACACAATATAACTTGCTTGTTCAACTTACTTTGATTAGTTTCTCTATGATGCCTGTTCGATTCAATGGTAGATGTTGAATGGTCTAGAAAAGGGTCAAGTAAATAAACACATGAAACAAAAGCAATATTGCATTTATAAAGCTGTGTATTTTACATATTATCTTTAGCCACAAAACTGGCTTCATGTCCAAAACAACCTACTTCGATTGTCGAAGTCTCGGATTGAATCCAAATCTTCCAGTATTGTGGTAAACGACTCATTACCGTCAACATGTTGGGAAGTTAGCAATGGATCTAAAAAGAACAAAAAGTACCAAAATCTATGTTAAAAAAGTGAAGTCTTTGAAATGCAAATATATAATTTATATCGGTTCACTTTTTCGTAATAGGAGAAAACGTTATTTCATCGATACATGTACATATGTACATAATCTATATAATAAAATAAAATACAATAATACATCTGTCTTCCTATTTGATCAAATTGAGTGAAAATGAAAACAGATGCATAATTATATAG